CGTCCTGAGCACTCTAAAATTGAGTATAAAACTGTAGAGATAATACCGATTTCATTAGCAGCTTTTAACAGGTTCCTTTCACTTAGGACTTAAATCACAAAGGGCGTTGGCTTCAAGGTGACATGTGTAAAGAAGATGCTACCTTTCTCAATATCAAGGTATTAAGGACCAGTTCTGCCCTAAGACCTGGGCAGGAGAGGTCTCTGGCCTTGGCCCTGTACCTTATCAAACATTTAAAAATGGTCATTCTTTTTCTTTCCTGTTTAATCTTGATCTAATCCAAGTTTATAAAGATATTCTTCCATGTTTTCTTTGAGAAGCTTCATTGTTCTGCCGTTTCCATTTTGGTCTGTAGTCTGTCTGGAATTGATTTTTGTGTGTGGTGTAAAAGTAGGTCTTAAGGTTCATTGTTTCCTAAGTGATCCTTTTTAATTAATCCAGAACCATTTATTGAAAAGATCATCCTTTCCTGTCTTTACAGTGCACCTTTGTTGCAGATCAGGTGATCATACATGTGTGTTTCTAGATTCTCTGTTCTGTTCTATTGGTCAATTTGCCTGTCTTTATGCCAATTCCACACATTTAAATTACTGTAGCTGTTTGACAGACCTCGTGATATCTGGTGGGGTAAGTCCTCCAGTTTTGTGGTTCTTTAAGATTGTTCTGGCTACACTTGACCCTTTGCATTTCCATATAAATTTTAGAATGAGCTTGTCAATTTTAATTAAAAAATACCTCCTGGGATTTTAATTGAGATTAGATTGAATCTATAAATCAATGTGGGAAAGAATTAATAGCTTACCAATACAGAGATTTGCAATCTGTGAATATAAAATATCCCTCCTTTTATTTATGTGTTGTTTAATTTTGCTCAGCAATATTTTATACTTTTTGTTAAGGTTATAACTGTTCATTGTTGATATGTAAAAGTACAATTTTATATAGTGACCTTTTCATGCTGACTTTTATATATTGATTTGATATCTAACCAGCAACCTTGTCAAATTCACTTGTTAATTCGAATAGTTTATCTGTAGGTTTCTTTTTTTTTTTTAGCACATATCATTTGAAAATGACAGTTTTATCTCTTCCTGTTCAATTCAGATAACTTTACTTTTTTTTTCTTGCCTTATTGCAGTAGATCAGCCCTCCAGCCCAATGAATAAAAGTGGTAATGATGCGGCTCCTGTGTCCTGTTCTGGTCCTCCTCTGGATACACTCTCTCAAGTGGACTTGCCTCAAGTCTACTCAGAGCCCAAATGCCCCTTTAGCTCACTCTCTCTCTGAATGTCAAAGGACTCCAAATTCCCTGCCCGAAAGGCCTGAGCTCCCTTTCAGGGCCTGCATGGGCCTCTTCCCAGGGTCTGCCCTGCTCAGGGCAGACAAGGCCTCATGGATGGCCAAAGGGTTTAGATGGAATTTGGATGTGTGGTCTGGGAAATCCACATGCCCACACGTGAAGGCCTTCATGGTGCTGGATGGAGCTAGGGATGTGAAGAGACAGGGGTGGGCTCCAGGCTGGGGGCCAGAGACTGGCTCCCCCTTAGCCACCAAGTTTTGAGTGGAACTCTGAGATGGAGTCTGAATTCAAACTAGGACTTTTGAATTTATATGAAAGTGTCAAGGTAGGAGGATAGAACATATTTTATTTAATAGTTTATTACATTGAGTTGTAATTTTTAAATATTTGGATACATGGTATGTGGCCCTTCATTTAAACTCTTACCCTGGATCTCAAGTGTTACGGTGTATCTGTTGATCTGTTGATCTGTGACTGTACATTTTCAATTTTACTTTGAGTCTTAAATACTTGATTCAGGAATTTCTGATGTTTGCATTATCTGAGTAGAAAATAGAAAATTGCTCAAAACTACAGGAAAGCCATTATTTCCTCAGACATGTAAAAGCATTTAGTACAAGTGATAAAGCTGCAGCTGTTTAAAACAAGCCTGGAGCACCCTGGATATCTGGGTTAAGATTCAGTTCTGTATTCATTAAAACTGCATTTCAAAATTTCCGTAGAAGAGTGAGAAGAGGGTCTCTAATCATTTCAGTGACTCCTTGGTACAGAGATGTTTGTAGGTTCCTATTTCAGAAAGGATTTAAGAGTTGGACAGTCTGTAAGTTCCAAAACAGACTTGGAAACACTGAGGCATAACCTAAGGATACTTCAATTTTTGTTGAGAAGATTTATCATCTTGAAATCATGACGTTCCCAAAAGGCCTGGAGTGAAGGGACTGAGTGTGAAATTTACAAACAGGGGTTTACAAGGGCAGAGTACCAGTAACAGAATTCCTGAGCCGTTAAGGGAGAGGGCAGTGTAGTCAGCTACAATTCTCTCCCACGTTAGAACCCCTGTAGCAAAAGTTCCCACATAACATTAACTTAAACAAGATAGAAGCTTATTTCTCTGGTTCACTTAATAGTTTGGAGCAGGAGAGGTCCAGGGCTGGTATGGAGGCTCCTTGATGTTGGGGACCTCATCTCCTTCTGCCCTTCCTTAAGCTGTCTTCTTCTGCTCACCATGTGGAACTTTATGAGAGAAAGAAAAGAAAACCTTTTCCCTTCAAGGGACTCACACTCTCCTACTCATGTGCTACTGATCAGACTGCACTCTAGCTGCAAGGGGAGGTTGGGAAATGTATCTATTTGGGGAGGTAAAATGCCTAGCTAAAATCTGGGTATTCTGTTATTAAAAGAAGAGTGGGGAATGGACATGGGAGGACAACTCCCGTAATCATCTCCCCAGCTGAGATGCTTAGAAGGGACCCTGGCAGTGTCAGCCCCTTGAAGGCCTGCTGGGGAAAGCGCTGAGATGTACCTAGAGTGCCTGCCTTTGTACTGGTCGGCTGGTTCCTCCTCTAAGGAGAATAAAAATACATCCAGAATCACAGAGTGCTATTCAGTTGTAAGCTATAACATCCCATCACCAGTGTCCTGATGGAAATATGTTGCTAAGTAGATGCTACTCTTAAAAGTCCTAAGGTACTTTTGATTCCTGCTTGGCCGGATAGAACAGCTACAGACAGTTGTGTAAAATGTAAAATGTTTCTAACTTTATAAATTCTTACTTTCAGAAATTGGCTAAACTGCTGCTCTGTGGCACTGAGTTGGTGACAAATATCCAGGTAGCTGCAGATATCAGAGAGATCCACAGGAGAGTCGAGGAAGAGGAGATAAAGCGTCAGCGGTGAGGAACCCCCCTCCCCTGGCTCTGTAGCCTGGGGGATCTGAAGTGTCTCCTCTCTGGGTCATGAGGTGAAGTGATATTTGAATTGGGCCATAAGGGATGAATAGGAGTTTGAGGAGCCAAGGAGTGGGCATTTTAGGCAGAGGGAACAGCTTGTGCAGAGGCCTGAGAGCACATGACACTTGGGAATGGCATGGTAGGGAAGGATGTATAGGGGGTGGTGGAAGAAAACAGATGAGGCCAAAAAGGTAGATTAGGCCTTTCTGGGTTCAAATGAATCATAATGACCAGATTCATAAATATTACGTACAGGTGGAGCAGCGTGTTAAAAGAACGATAGAGACTCCATGCCTGGAAGGAGGGAGGGTCGGGGGACAATGGGAACTCGGGGCTGAGCAGGTAGTCCCTGTGCACACGCATCTCCCAGGTCTTGGCTTGCCCAGCAGGGAGGCAGGAGTAAGCTGCTTCGAAGGATTCTCCTTCCTCGGTTTGCCCACAGAAGGAACAGAGGTCCTCATTTAAACCCTTCCTTTGGCTTGTTCTTCAATTAATTTCTTAGCTATAGTCCAATTAGAAGGGCAAACCCCCAGGCCATTTTCGCTCAGCTCAGCAGGTATATACACAGTACGGTTTTCACAATATGTTTAGTTGGTCGGCAGAAGTAATTCTCCCCATTAGCAACTTTACCAGTGTCACCAGGATGTAACTGGTACCTTTATTCCCTAAACTTCCCACTGCCTGTCACAGGTTGTACCAGGAATGCGCTGATCCCCAGTGGGGGCAGCGGCTGAAAGGCCCTGGGTGCCCCACTAAGGAATTAGTGTCTGCTGCAGCCACTGAGGAAAAATCGAAGGTCATAAGTGGCAGAGTTCCAAGATAAATGTGGGTTTTGGAAAGATGACCTGACAGCTGTTTCTTATTTTTTTGAAGAAAAAAATTAATTCAATTATAAGATGTACTGTGTAGGTTGGAAGCTGGGAAGGAGAGAGGAGATCACGAGATAAGCAAGTTGTGATTCTTGTCCTGAAGGGGGTTTGCAGTCTTGCTTGGAGACAGTCTCACAGGAGGACAGCCTGCTGAAGCTGGGGGAGAGTCACAGGCATGCGTCCTATGGATTCTTTGGAATTTCTGGTATTCTGGAAGACTGTCCCTATTTTCTGCTGCTAATGGTGGAGTTTTCCTTTTTTGTATGTTTCACTGGTCATCTGTTGATAATTTGGGAGAAGACCGGCCAGACACTTGAGGTCACAGTGTCAATAAAGATTAATATGAGTGCCATTTGTCAAGTGACTACTGTGCTGGGGATCATCTTAGTTAATCCTGACAACAGCCACAGAAAGGGAGATACTTTCATCTTCTCTTTTTTTTAACTTTTTTTTTCCCAGTGGAGGTACTGGGGATTGAACCTGGGACCTTGTGCATGCTGAGCATGTGCTCCACCACTGAGCTAAACCCTCCCCCTCATCTACTCATTTCACAGATGGGAAAAATGGGCCCTGCAGAGGTTAAGCAACTTGTCTAAAGTTGAGAGTCAGTAGCAAAATCAGAATTTGAACACAAGCTATGGGACTTGTGACCAAGTGCTTAACTACTGTGTGTCCCTATCTTACCCAGAAGTATGTGAAGTGAACTCTTGATCCACGTGTGTGTGTATGTGTGTGTGTACAGCCTTAATGTCAATCTGCTTTTATGTGTTGCTTTGTTTATTTGCTCTCAGTTCCTTCTAGTCCATATTAAACTACAAGCAGATTCCTCAGAATCCGGTGTGGTTCGCAGTGGGTTTGTCTGGAGGCAGTGCCGGGGTAACTGAGCCTGTTTTATAGACTTGAGAAACCCAGCCTGCTTGATTGGAAGGCAGCCTCTGGAGTTGGGCTGTTTGTGTTTTGCAGACTTGAAAAGCTGGAGAACGAGGTCAAGACCAGCCAGGACAAATTTGATGAGATCACCGTCAAGTGGGAGGAGGGCAAACAGAAGAGAATCCCCCAGGAGCTGTGGGAGATGCTCAATGCCCAGCAGGTGCACTGCGCTGGGCTGATAGAAGATAAGAACAAGCTGATCAACGAGTTACAGCAGGCAAGAGCCCGGCCAGTCCCCACCGCAGGGCATCCAGCTTGCTTTTCCTGAATGGAAAAAGGGGGAGGCCTGACCTCGTTACCAGAAGGCGGGACAGCTCAGGCAATACACGTCTAACCAGAAGAAAAAGTTCTGGAGTCATCTTAGAATTGTTGGCAACCTACTAGAAAGATGTACTGTCAGAACAAATGCTGTTCCCGATTTTATGTGTTTAGTCAAGGAATGGAACTTAGCCTGCAGTCTGTGCTTTCCCACCTTGGAACCTGGGCATTCGTTGCTCAACTGGAAGCCTGCAGGGAGACTTGCAGCAAGTGGTAATTGGAGGGGAGGAACCCTGTGCTGCTCACAGAGGGTCTGTCCTGAGCTGAGCCCCCTCCACCTGACGGGATGGGTCCAGGTGGGGTGTGCCTGGCAACCTCTTGCTTCTTTCTCAGTGGGTGACCAACTTTTGACATGCTGTCTTCTAGGAGTTAAAAACAAAAGATGACCAGTATGTGAAGGATTTGAAAAAGCAGTCAGATGACATCTGCCTGCTCCTGGAGCGGATGGAAGAGCAAGTGAAGAATGTGATGAAAAGCTTTCGCCAGGAGCTCTATCACATTGAGGTGACGGACAGGCTGTGAGAGAGCTGCCCTCTGCCCCCGGGGAGGCCCCTGGGAGGAGGCTGGCTCGTCCTAACCACCAAGCAGGGCCCCAGGTGTCTTGGTCTTTTGATTTCTGCACCTGTTCTAGGGTTTCATTCATTCACTTACTCATTCATTCACTCCTCCAACAAATACACATCATGTGTCTATCATATGCCAGGCACAGGCCATGGGCTGGGGATACTAGCCACGGGCAAAAGAAAGTCCTCGATGGAGCCTGTATTCCAGCAGGAGACAGCTAGACACTAAACAGATAAATTACTCAATATACAGTTTGACAGGTGGTGGTAAGTGCTTGGAAAGGAAATAAAACAGGGTAAGGTGAGAGGAGTGGAGGGGGAAGGTCAGTGCTCCAGAACCATCAAGCCTCCGGAGCTGTTTGTCTGACTTATTTATGACAGTCAGGGACAGGGCGGGGTGGGAAAGGGGCGGGCCAAACAGGATCTGGGAACCAATACTTTGAATTGGAATGAAATGTTAAAGACTGAGATGGAGACAGGTCTTTCCAAAATGGAAGAGAGCCAAGAGGGTGGGGGCCTCTCTCTTTGGAGTATTGTAGATTCACTTCTGCATTCCCAGGCCTACCCCACCCACTGCCCCACTTCTGTGAGCTCTGTGCTGCCTTTGCTTCATGGGAACCCCAGCCAGAACAAGGCACCAACCCGGGTCACGGCTGAATTATACGCCAGGGTTGGCCCTGGGACTGCAGGGCACTGGCCTTCCCCCAGTGCACAGACTTCGTAACAATTTCCAGACAGGTCCTTCCATAGCCCTTAGGTTGCACGAAACTTGGCAAGTCTGCACTTGGATTTGACTTTGTGTCACTTGTGCTGTTGTCTGAGAGTTCTTTGATGTGGTGGGACCTGCCTAATCCAAGCAGACACGGGAGCCCTTTTCCTTCTTGGTCGTAGAAAGCATTTGAGGCGGAGCGACAAGAGCTGCTGACCAGTAATAAGAAGAAGTGGGAGCGAGCCCTGCAGGCTCACAACGCCAGGGAGGTAATGGCGGCTGATGGGGGAGTGGGCAGGCGCGTCAGGGGTGATTGGTGGAGTCTGGGGTGACCCCTCTGCATCTGAATTCGCTAGCCTCTGTATATCTTGGCGAGGATAGCTGAAACCCACGACTACACTTCCCAGTTAGTCAGTGAGGCCCCGCGGATGTGGGCCTCTCTGATGGTGGTCAGTACCACCTGGGCAGCCTGCTGTGTTTCCGGGGTCCTGCCACGTTCTCCTTCACTTCCTGTGTACCTCCCCCAGCCATGGGTACTTATACACAAATGGGCCAAGAAGCTGTTTCAAGACATATCTTAAAGGGTGTGGGGTTATTACTTTATTTCAGAGACATAAGGAACAAAGAAATAATATGACCGAGAGCCAATGAATTTTTTTTTAACTTTAGCAGTACAAATGTCTGCATTCCTCTGAGAGTTTCTGGAGTAAGGGCCCCGTTAAGCAGTACAAGCCACGGCCTGGGAGGTCAAAGCCTTGGGGCATCGGGGTTCTGAGGGCAGACAGACTCCGTCCAGAGTTGGACCCTCCCCTGTGTCGCGCTGGTCAGGCCACCTGAAGGGCTGAGTCAGGACAGGGGCGGGGCCTGACCTTGCCCTTGTCTTCCTGTGCCTGCAGCTTGAATATCTCATGAACCGCATCAAGAGGGTAGAGGACTACGAGAAGCAGCTCAACAAGCAGAGGATCAGGGACTGCGAAGAGTACAACTCGATCAAGATCAAGCTGGAGCAGGACGTGCAGGTGCGACTCGTTCCTCCGCCAGAGTGGCTGGGCGGCCGGCAGACCGAGAGCACCTGTGACTATTCTGTCCTTAGCAACGACCTGTAATATTCTAGAGCTAGTCCCCTCCACCAGTTCTCACTAATCATCTGCTCCCTTTTACATGATAATATCTGAAGGAGCTCATGTACCAGATACACATGGAGGAATGCTTTCTTTAATAAATCAGTGGAAAACTGCCAAGATGCTGAGGGGTCTGGAAACCACGGCATGTAAGGAATCATGGAGGGAACTGTGCATTTTCTCCGGGCAAAGGGAAGACGTCCCTAGGGCGAGGTAGCAATGACATAGGGCCAATGCTAGGACAGCCACTATCCACTGGGTGTCTACCATATTCCAGGCACTTAACTCACAGCATCTCTAATCCTTACAGTAATGTGAAGAGGAGAAATTGCTGACGGCATTTTATACACCAGGAAACTGAGGCTCAGAGTCAAGGTTACTTAGCTAGTAAGTGGTAAGCCCTGGATTCAAGCCCAGTTTTGTGTGGTTCCAAAGCCTCTGTCCTTCCGAATATTCCAGAGTCCCCTGACTGATGGTTGAACTTCGCAGGAAGGCAGATTCTGACTCACCATCAGAAAGAAACTTCCCATAGTTAGAACTATCTAATACAGAAAAGAGTCATCCCACAAAACAAAGATTCCTTTATCTCAGAAAGTATTCAGGGGCTGAATGACTGTGTCTGTCTTCAGCGTAGAAGGATTCCTACAGTGGGAAGAGGTCAGATTTTCTGGTTTCTAAAGTTCTTTCCAAACCTAGGATTCTGTGTTTCAACATCAGTTTAAAAAAAAATCATCTCTAATTACATTTAGATGTAGTATAATTATATCTTAACACTCAAGCACAGTCTGTTTATTTCAGTCTTTATCTAGGAAAACACGTTAGATGAAAGCTTTTCCACATCTTGCCTTTGGTAGAATTTCAGTTCTTAACTCCTCTTGTAGCTTTATATAATGAGGTTAAATTAAAAACCCTATAAGACTACAAATATTTTTCCAGCCTTGAGAATTTCATGGAGCTGAGTTACTGACAAAGAACAGTAGACGTCTGTAGGACAGCAGCTCTGCTGCTGTGGGCTGTATACATTACACTTGTAATGAAAATGGCTATTGTTAAGCTTTCTGAAGTTGTCTTGATCCTATGATAATTTATATGACAAAACTACATACTGTTGGCCTCAAACAGTGAAATAATGGAACCTCGTGTTCTTTTTTGTTTTTGTTTTGTTTTTCCTTTTGTGGTAAGAGCCCTTAATATAAGATCTACCCTCTTTGCAAAATTTTAAGTGCATAGTACAGTATTGTTAATCCTAAACCGTCTGTTGTACATTATGTCTCCAGAATTTATTCATCTTGCAAAACTGAAACTTTGTACCCTTTGACCAATACCTCCCCACCTTCCCCTCCCCCAGCTCCTGGCAGCCCCTGGTAGCACATTCTGCTCTCTGCTTCTGAGTGTGACTGTTTTAGATCCCATATATAAGTGAGATCATGCAGTATTTGTATTTCTGTGTTTGGCTTATTTCCCTTAGCATAGTGTCCTGCCTGTCCATTTATGTTGTTGCAAATGGCAGGATTTCCTTTTTTTTTAAGGCTGAATAATATGCCATTGTATGTATATTCCACTTTCTCTTTAATCCATTCATCCATCGTTAGACAGTTTGGTTGTTTCTGTATCTTGGCTATTGTGAATAATGCTGCAATGAACAAGAGTGCAGATACCTCTTCAAGATCCAGATTTCAATTCTTTGGAGTATATTCCCAGAAATGGGATTGCTGGATCAAATGGTAATCCTATTTTTACTTTTTGAGGACCTCCATATTGTTTCCATAGTGACTGTACTAAAGTGCATTCCCACCAACAGAGTACAAGGATGCTCTTTTCTCCATATCCTTGCCAACATTTGCTATCTTTCGTTTTTTGATACCAGCCATCCTACAGTTGTGAGGTGATATCTCATTGTGGTTTTG